CCTGGGACATATTGACACTTACTTCATCGTATACACCCAATAATGGGAGGGATGATCAGGGATCACTTCTAAGAGCAACAAATACAGCTGGCAATAAAGAAATAGTTACTGCTAGTAGACACCTCTCGTTAATTGTTCAACAACACAGTGATCTGAACCGTGGACAGGTGTCGGTCAGATTAACATTTTATTGGTCCATAAAAGCAATGATATATATGCTTAAAGGATACAAAATTAATGAAATACATTTTAAAATAATGTATTTGATTTTGTTGTGTTTTGTGTAATTAATATAATACATAAATGTGTCAAACATACAAATACACATTTATGTATTATATTAATTACACAAAAACACAACAAACATACAAACTTTGCTTTCTCTTACATTTAAGTTGATACGCGAAAATAGATGTCCAGGAAAGGCTTATGGGATATTGTAAGATGGCAGTCCACAAAAATCATATATATAATATATCTATTTCTGTAACTATAGTAGTTTCGGACGAAACACTTAAAAATACGTTGAATAAATTGTAAAACATAATGAAGCCAGTTTCAATTAAAAGAGAAAATTCATAACGGTAAAGAAAAATATTTTGAAAGAAAAATTTTAAATTATTTTGTGTTTCTTTTGTAAACCTAAGAATGTTAACATTCTTTAAAACTTTTACATTATAAATGACATATCGTTAAATATCGTTAATTATAAGCTGTTGTAGCTTTTTAAATATCTAATAATGTCCAATTTGAATATTTGTTTTCAACAGATGACGTGTCAGAAAAACGAAACAGTCTGTCTTATGTGATTATTAACCCAAGCTGTGATCAGAAACTTGAAGAAGGTGACACAATGTAAGTAATAGCTGTTTATAATACGGTACGTGACACAATGTAAGTAATCGCTGTTTATAATACGGTACGTGACACAATGTAAGTAATCGCTATTTATAATACGGTACGTGACACAATGTAAGTAATCGCTGTTTATAATACGGTACGAGACACAATGTAAATAATCGCTGTTTATAATACGGTACGTGACACAATGTAAGTAATTGCTGGTTATAATACAGTACGTGACACAATGTAAAAAATCGCTTTTTATAATACGCTACGTGACACAATGTAAGTAATCGCTGTTTATAATACGGCACGTGACACAATGTAAATAATCGCTTTTTATAATACGCTACGTGACACAATGTAAGTAATCGCTGTTTATAATACGGCACGTGACACAATGTAAATAATCGCTTTTTATAATACGCTACGTG